TAGACTGTGTGAATATTTGCTCAAATACTATGATATCCTGTTTTTAATCGTGGTGTATTTTAGTTTACTTTTATCAAGAAATTGGCGTTAATATAGGAATGAGTCCACAAACCAAATTTCTGACTGTCAGTGGAGGAATATACTGATACTGGAAAACGGTTCATCAATTTGATCCTTCCTATCTCTTGTGCTAACTGACAGTCTTATCCCTGGTTATAATGTTGAATTTATATAAAAAAAAATGTTGAAATTGCTTTTACAGATTAAAACGATATCATACATATATACTGAAAATAAAACGAAAAACATCATAAGTTTTGTCTCGCAGGAGCCATGCGACAGGTGAAACATGCTACTGCAGGCACTAAAGATGAAACGCAGTAAATTCCGCTCAAGATATACATTTCTATTCATTCTGAAATTACGTCGAGTCCTTCTTTCCCCGGATTATGATGAAATATGAGCTAATCAATGTAAAATATGGTCAATCAGTTTTCTATTTTACTAAAATAAATGCATATCCTTGGGATTCTATTGCATATCTTGAGATTTCTTAAACAATGATCTTCAAAATTACTGATCGACTGCACTAGATCGGAATCAATGTTCCAACAACTGATCTAATTTTACGATTTAACAAGATCGGAAAAATTCTGTTTTAATTAAACTAGATATAATTGGACAGTTTATTACACATGTCTATGTCTGCAGAATCGCGTGGCTTGTGTGTTGGTAGTGCCAAATCCAGATCCTGTCTTTTGGAGGCCCTAGGCACTTGGGATGATGGTTTCCTACAAAAAAAAATTAAATAAGAAATTGATGTTATATGTTATCTGTAATCATTACTAATTGAAAGCCAACTTACTGTTAATTACTTATCGATCATAAGATCGATCTTAATCTTTGGTGCTCATAATCCTTTTCGTATCTTGATTTAGAACGTAAATATTATGAAGAATTATTGCCACTGTTGGGGCTGACCAAACTTTAAAACTAGCTCACCAACGATTATTTTTGCTGAACTAATCAACAGCAGTCATAATGAAATGCGGATTGTTCAACGACCGTAGTTATTAGATAGGAATGGACCCAAGGTCTTGTCAATTTGTGGGCTATTCTTCTACTTTATAACTACGGGGTCAATTGTTTAGAAATTTTCAGATTGCATTTGTCGCTAGAAGGCTAATACTTCTATTTATTTCAAAAAAAAATTTGGGCACAATGGGATTCGTCATTTTGTTGTGTGATAGCGTCATAGAATTTAAAAATACCGCACTGTTCTGTGTTCGTAATCGTTGCTTTCTGAAGATCAACCGAAGTCGGGAAATGTACCTGTGGAAGATTCCATACCCGTACTACTTTGCCTTGGCTTTCGGGTTCATATATTTGAGCATTGCTCTCTTGTTTATTGGCGGATTATTCTGATCCAAACTTTGGACATATTGAATAATGTTGATAAATTGTAATTTTGAAGTTGATTTCACAAGTGTCCTACGTGAATTAAAATTTAGAATCGATGATGAAAACCTCGCAAAATGCGTGGTTTTTGTTTATTGCGCTCAGTGACGTAACAATGGTAATATGTAAAATAGGCTGATGAGCTGTAAGCAAGGCTGCCATAACGTCCTTATTTATAAGACTTGTCTTTTTTTTGAAGGTCTCAGTCTTAGAATATATTTTTGTCCTTACTTTTCAAGAAACGTCCTTATTCTTCTGTCCTTATTTTTGTCTTATTTAAGGGCTAAAGGTTTTTATACCGAGCACTTAGTTTTGTCAATTCGAAAAATTGATTTGCTAGAATTGAATAAAATTTCATTGATTGCTACGCGCATTCACGACGTAATACTGTATTATTAACTTAAACTAATTGCTACAATGACAAAACAATAGCCTACCGGCAAAGATCAGTTCGTGTAACTTCAAAAGACAGTAGTGAATGAGAGCGTTGCAGACGCTAGCCCACGCCCGTGTGACTCCAACCCACACTCGTTTTTGTTGAGCCCTATTAGGGGTAACTGGGCTGTGCTTGGTATTTCATTTGCGTGGGATATATAATCTATGATCATGTATATATTATCAGAGCAATCACGTTTTTATGGAATAACGTTTATAACGAGAGTAAAAATAGATGGTTAACCCGTTGACCGCAGGGTGAGTGTGGGCTGAGGTTTTCTCTGTTATCTTACTATTATGTTTTGAAATGTCCTTATTTTTGGGTTCATATTGATTGCAGCCCTGCATGGCCTATAAGCCATATTTTTAATTTTGTTGACGTCACGCAAAATGTATGTAAGTTTTCGGTATAGACAGATGAATATTGAAATTGCATATTTGAAAAATCTATCATCTGGAACACCCGTAAGAGCATTGCTAAAATGCGCTTGTTTACTGGAAAGTAGTTTAATGTCAATTCGAGTTTCGTCTGTGTGGCCTAATTTGCTTATGATGATGCTTATGCTTATAAAAAAAATTGAAGACGACATCGAAAAAATAATAAGGAAAAATACGTAATTTAGTTTCACGCTATACAAAGGGGATATCATGTAACACGGTTTGGAGATTGTGTAATCACAATAAAATAAATTTTCGAATTGCAGAAAGCGTTACACAACCTTTAATGCGACTGATTTATAGTTGACTACATACACAATGTCATATCGTCACACGCGCCAGCAAAGTTGCGTTAGTCACTTTTTAGGTTGATTTTGAGTCTTCCATCTAATAGTTATTTTCGCAGATGCCTGTACCACGATCAGGACTATGTGCCATGATCTTATGTCGTATTTGGCTACGGTCAGAAAAACTGGTATTTAGAGAATCCACTTCTCCCTAATAAAGATGGGAGGGATAAAAACGCCACAAATAATAGTGATGCATTGTATGGCATTAGGTGATTATTAAAGTTAATATTATAAAAAAGACTGGGGTATGTGTTTTTGCAATAACCTGCTGGGGCATAAAAGCGAGACATAGAAGCAAACAGTTGAATACTTATCCTGTCTCTACATGATATATATTTATGTGCCCTAACAATACGTAGCTGTGTGCAACAAAATGGTGCAATAGTAACAATTTCCCTGTTCAGTTCGAGGGAAATTAAACATTATTGAAAGTTTGTCAAATCCTAGCATAGAAATGATAGTAAATTTTTAAAATATTCGGATGTTTTTTGTAAGAAACAAAACAAATTAGTAATTTTTTGAATAAATTAGTAAGTTGAAATTGTTGCTTCGTCATTGCGGATATATAACTCAGTTTTTCACTATCAGATTGTTTTCTGGCAAATCTCGGTATTTATAAAACAGTAAATTGTAGAGTAAATCCCATAAATTGGCCTGTTGTAACAACTCAGGAAGGTAACAAGTTCCAAAATAAATTCTTACTTCCTGCAAGATAAGATTAGTGCAAGAGATCGAAAATAAATGGAAGATAGTCTGTTGGTATGTCCAAGCAATTTGAGTATTAATAAATAATATTTTCTAATAAAGTATTATAACAATATATGTAATATTAATACGGGTGCTCTAAAATGCTTATGTTCAGTAGTTTTCAGAGTGATTGTAAGTGAAGTTTTAAGATGATTCAAGTAAGTAACTTCATGATATATTTGCAGATTTGGTTACTCTATTTATATGGACAAGTGAATTCGACTCAATTATAGCATATTTTACAATAACTAACATATAATGATAACACGTCATGATAAATAAATTTATGATATATAATATATAAAGTACATTCATTATTTTGTTTCTTATATTGTTATTTTTTTAGATGCTAATGATTTGTCTACTTTTGTTTTATTTTTGTTAGGGCAATTTTTTGGTTTATAATGTACCAATAAAAATAACGTACATAGACTAAAACGAAAATTTTTGTTTAAAACAAAAATGTAAATTTTAGTGATTTGGCGGCGGGTGAAAAGGATCAAGATCTGAGTGAAAAAATAAAAACAGAACATAGGTACACTGTTCTTCTCTACACTAGCAGCGAATTATATTTCGATGACCATAACCGTCTTCGTTTGAGCCAAAATATGACAAATTGAGACTTACTAGTACTTGCTCACTTTAAAGATGCTCCAGGGCGTGTTTTTGCACTGATAATCAGATGATACAATGTGATTAAATATCGATACTCGAAGCGAGCTGTTCGAAAGACATTTAGACATTTTTTTTAAATAATTTGACACTTTTTCAATGTAAAAATTGTCAAATTAGAATAAAAAAGAAATTAGGTCGCATAATTCACTTCATAATCGTGCCATATGAAGCAATTATCCGGATTAAAAAGAAACATATAACGTATTGCAAACTTAACTTAGGAAATAGTTTACATTCTACGTTAATTGGAACGTTTCGATCATTGCAATGTGGTTAATCAGTTACGTAAAGGACGTTCCAAAGAACAGATAGATATTTTGATAGAAAAACACTTTCCATCAAAATGATGAAAAAGCAACCGCAGTATACTGTTGAGAGCATAGCACGAAGAAGATAGATTTTCAGATAAATAGAGACAATTTCACATTATATCAACTTGCTAGCAAGAGGTTGAAGCTTCAGATGTTATTCATGCATTAAAATTTGAAAATGACTATGTGGAAATTGTTGGTAGATGCTTTTAGTTCTGAAATATAAAACATTTTTACCAAAGCGCTTGATAACATTGGTTGGAATTGAACTACATAACATTTAGTGATTGATGAAATGCTTTATTTCTTTCATCACATGCAATCACTTCAATGTATTACTTCGATTCTTTTTTGCTTCATTATTTTTAAATAAGATGTATATTTCGTTACTTTCTACCTCCAGTCCTGCAAACATTCGTCTCTCAATTTTTTTTCTTATATGAGATTTTGGGGGTTTCTTTTGTAGTAATAACAAGCTAACTGCCAACAACTCTTTAACTCTTAACTTTACTACTAAATTTGATTGCTCTATTTTTATTTCACTGATTCTGATTTCAGGGTATATTGTGTATATTATTGCTCCATTAAGTGCTAATTCAATCTTATCGCACTTAAGTTCAATTAAATAAGATTGAAATGGCAAATGACAGCAACTTTAGTGAATTCAATCAATTTAACGTAACACAAATTGGCCAAAATTTTGGCAACGATGGAAATAATGTTACATCTTCGCCGACTGGTCCACTTCCCCAGTAAGTATTTATGTTTAAATTGATTTGCATCGAACAATACTAAAATAGGATAGTTTGAGTTTTTATCGGTGTCTTGTCCGGTTACCAGCCCATGTCTGGTATGGGAATAATTAACTATATATTTTATGCCAACGCATTGACTTGACGGTGTAGGAAGCCGTAACCGATTGGCGGTTATGTGATCCATCCTATGCCGGCGCAGAGTCCATCAATTCTCTCCCCCAATATTCCACCAACGATATTCGAAATTGCGAACCATTGGGATAAATTTCACGTTTTTATCGCGGAGTTTTGAATAGCGCTATAAAAAGAACATAAACGCCAAAATTATATCCACATGTATGTTCTTCTTAGTTTAAATACTAATAAAAACAAATTGACTGATTAATAGAATAATACCAAACCGTGACATTAATTTTAAAATTATAATCGGATCCAGCAGAATAAACTAAATGAAATATTTTGTGAAAATTAATGTGTTTGTTCAATCAATCAGGTAGGATAGAATTTAGGATGTGTTTTCCAGATTCATGTCATAACTGTAAATGGTGGATTAGAATTATTTCATTTGATCAAATATCAGAAATTGGCTCAGTATATACATTACATCTTGTCCATTTATATACAACTTTGCTAGGTATGGTAAGAATATCATTTTAAAACGTTTATTGCATAACCGAAGGTAAAATACCTATAACAAGTTTTCGAAACCTTCACAAAATACACTATTGTAATAAAATTAATTTAATTTTGATATAAATCCTAAAATATTTGTTACATTTTTAGGGAGCCGTTTTTTACCCAACTAGAAGTTGCTGGTTTGGGAACCATTATTTGTCTAATGTCAATCATTGGAATAATATTAAACAGCATCACGTTCTTTGCAATCTTATTGGATACAAAACTGAAAAAGTAAGTGGGAAAAATTAATATCTATTTTTTTCTTTGCATTTTTTGCCTTAATTATTCCATTCCCTCTCTCTTTTCCTTATATCTTTTAATAATAAAGATATTAACTGTTTTTCATTATAATCTTTCTCATTGCGTATTCTCAATAATATTTTTCAGTTCAGTTTTCAACGTTTTTATATCGAGTTTGTGCGTTTCTGACTTTTTTTCATCAATCAGCAATCCGTTGACATTTTTTGCATTGATGGGAACTCATAAAGATTATTTATTTCCAGACATTGTGTGTAAGGTGAATCTCATTTACTTTGTTATATACATTTCAGTGAAAACGCTAAATTGAAATTAAGTGTATTCAAAAAACCTTGCTCGCTAGAGGTTTGCATTGTTGAAATTTCAACAAAGATAAAAAATGGAAAATTATCATATGGAAAAAAATACCGAATTCTACCATACCATATAGTTACTAGATTTGTCCCCAGCAATATTTAGTTCATTGCAAATAACAGTTTTTTTATTTACCGGGTTAAAAAAATTAAAATAATATTCACAGTTGCATACCGCTGTGATATATGGACAACCATTTGTACTATTCAGCATATTCTTGTATTTTCACTCCTCCGTCTTGTGCCGTTTCGTATCCTCATCATATTAAACGTATTAGTGTTTTGATGGCCAAAGTAAGTTAATTAATTCTAATGTTACTCGCTAGAGTCTAGTGTTTTTGTATACATTTTAATATATTACTGATACATTTACAGTTTGATGATGGTTTGAATCGACCTATATCAAACATTAATTTCTCCAGTGTAAATTTATTAGATGCTTGAAATGTATGACTAATTATAAAATTAATTAATTCTAAATCAATACGTGATGATAACCTATTACATATGTTATGGCACAATACTAACATGTTACATAGTACGTATATGGAAAGATAATGCTGTTTTAGAACAGCGATCGGCAACCTGCGGCTCCTGAGCCGCATGCAGCTCTCGTTTCTTGGTGCTCTTTCTCCCGTGAATCAAAGTGACTACAGAAGTTTTTGTTAGAAACAGTGGAGATTCAATAAAAGCCGGGGGCATAAACTCGATTACCTCTAACTGATTACACATGATGACTGGTATAAGTCGAGAGTGATAAAAATAGGCTGCATTTTGGTGATTCAAATCTGTCAAAACAAACTTTTACTTTTCATTATCCAAGTTCTTTTCATTTCGTCGTAAACTGAATTATTAATTTATTTAGCTTCTTCTTAGTAAGAAATAGAGTATTGCATCATAAGTGGTTTTCCGAGAGTTTTAACAGCCGCTGATATTAGAGTAGATGTTGCGGCTCCGAGTAGGTTTGAGTTTGGCGGAAAGGATGCCAAGGCTCTTTCAAGGCTAAAGGTTGCCGACCCGTGTGTTTGAAGAACAAGTATTTATGTTATTAATTAGCTTTTGTAGACGATAATCAACACGTCGCACGTCTTTTATCGAAATGTATATTTTTGCAGATTGGAGGTGCTTTCATATGGTTGGAAACTTTTGGAGTGTCTTTTGTACCTTACTTTTACTTTATGGGGGTATTCAAAGGTTCTCACCTGGATCCTAACGTTATGTTGTGCAGGGGTGGCGGACAGACGTGAGTGTTGCGCATCCAATCCATTTTTCGAATTTTCATCTGTTACAAGATTCAATTTAAAAGTTGAAAACTTATATGTTCACTAACTCTTTTGATATGCTCACTTAGATCTGATAGATTTTTCAAATTTTGAATCAATTTTGGTATTAGTTCATTCAGTTACTATGTCCATTGTTGGCATTTATCTTTGTCAAGATAATTCAATTTAATTGAATTCTATGTAATTCTGACTGAATTCTATGTAATCTAGTCACAACTCGTCAAATTATAACAGACATCTAATTAATTTATACTTTTAATTTCAAATAATTAGCCTTCTCACAATACGTAAAATATTCATATCCAATCATATTTTATGCACCTATGATGTTGGTGGTATATGCTCCATTGCTTTAATATAGTCTCATGATACGAAGGAAATTCTCCAAAGAAGCATTGGGTAAGGATTAGATATAACATCAATTGTTTCTTTATTAATAGTCAGTTTTTGGGGAGGATTTTTGTTTTGTATATTTTGTAATATTAGTTATGTTCTTTACTTCTTTATTATTACTATTATAATACTTATTCATGCACACATTATGACCTACTTAAAACCGTGCAAAAGAATGTGAATTGCGCACGCTAAGGATCCACTGAAGCTTGAACAAATGGAGTAGTTTTGATGCATAGTAGAGGAGGGAATGAAAAGTTTCGAAATAAGCGAAAGGAAAATTTAACGAAAAAGTCTGGGAACCACTAGTTTAAAAAAGTTGATGATATTTTTTATGTATTTGAACTTTTTAAAAATACTTGAACTAGTTTGTGAAATCACTGACAAAACAACTGTGTCTGAATGCTCGATTATGCTGTTGTAGAAATATAACTGTTATGACGTATTGAATTTTGTTGGGTTGTCGTTCAGGGCATCCTAAACATGCATTACTCAAAAAATTTTGAGAAGGGGCCTCGGAAAATATGAGTAAAAAAGAATTTTTTTCATAGAATGCTGTCACTCAAGTAAAAAAAAGCGGGAAGGTTGACACTTGATTTCCTCCTAGCTAAAATAACTTTCCAATTCACATCATGATAATTGATTCTTGAAATTAATTTGACGTTTCGCTCGAGCTCTTGTAAAATTACTTTAAATATAGCCATGTTTAGAATAGTGCTAAATGCTTTTGAGGTCAATGGTTATAACGGGTGTTCAATGGTTGTCGCGTCAGTACTGAGAGACGATGGTCTAAAATGCTAGTGCCGGCAGGTTAAGCCTATTGACCCTCAAAATTTGAATATGTTCGGTGCATGAGCAAAACGAATAAAGCAGCTAATATCTATCCAAATTGAAATAATTTTAAACAAAAACTTCAAAATAATTTAATAAAATCGATTTATTAACTAAATGCTGTAATTAATATTTTTATTTTAAGGGAATGGCAGGAAGACAAAAGATGAAAATTTTGCCATCCTCCAGCTTTCTTTGATTTTGCTTTCTTTTCTGATTGGATATATTCCGGATGTTGGTGAGTTTTTGTGTGACTTTTTCAATAGGTCATGCAGTTGTCTTTGTTAACTATATTATATTTTGACTTCATTAACCTGCATTTGATTCTTCTCTGTAACATATTCTCATCTTACTTTCCTTTTGACTTTATTGTTTTTTGTTTCAATATCTAGCTCGCCGACTATTCAACACGAATAACTCACTAAGAACCAAGTCGGATTTGTTGATTTATATTATACCGATATTCATTTTGCGATTTTCGGAATGTCTGAATCCAGTGTTCTACAATATATCTTCCAGGCAAGTTTTATTTTATTTTAATTTCAAAACCTTTTTAATTCTAGTGCCTTTCTACATAAATGATCAGGTTTAATTATAATTTAACTACCATCTCAAAAAAGCATAATTTTTATGTTATTTATAAGCCAAACTAATGCGGTCACATCAGACTGCCTTATTTATATTACATTTACATGTTGAAAAATCGGTACTCCTGTAGTATGTGTATCAGGTTAGGATTAGCCCATAATTTTATTCCGATTTCCCTTATTTTAGTTCTATTACAAGTGTATGTTCTGTCTGTGCTAGCTATGAGAATACACCCTCTGTCTTCTAGTAATCAGTCGCTTTAAACAACTTGATGTAAAGTCAGCGAACAAAATTAGTTACCTCCATATGAATACTCCTGGAGCGCCGAATAATCAAGTAATAATAAAAGTTAGGTTTTATTTTTTCATACTTTTTGCAGCTCAATTAGAAATGCATCTGTAGACTTACTCAAAAAATTGTTTTGTTGCTGGAAACGAGATTCAAGACCTTTGCCGGAATCAGAACGAGATCGAAGAAGGTTGCCTGGTAGTCAAGAAACGAAATTTAGTGAGCAGAACACAAGAAAAACCAATGCATAACATTTGTTACACAATATGATTAATATTGAAACAAACACCAAGAAACACATGAATAACATTGGCTCTGATAAAATATTTGAAATTACATTCTGTAAAATATTTGTTATAATTGTTTATTATGACAATTTTTTTTTTTTACAAATTTTTTACTATTTTCGATGGCATAATTTAACTTGAACCTGGTTCAATGCATATAAAGATAAAGTCAATCCATTCTACGTGAATTACCATTTATATGCATTTTATTTTCTCCAACTTTCTTCAACAGAAAACATTATTGTTTTCTAGTTTACGCTGTTTCTTCATGCAATTTGATTGCGAATCATGTTTTGCTGTAAATATTGTGTCTGTATAGCAATGTGCTTGTTTAATGTTATAAATATTTATATTCATAGTGAAAAAAGATTTGCTTCATCGGTCGCTATATAAAGTTTTTGTGGTTTAATGAAGACTTTAGTTTTGTTTCGTGCACTGGGAAAGCATCTTATTGAAATATGTTGCACAGGCTACTCATGTAAAAGCTCATGTATTCCTTTTCAATTTAAAATTCTGTTTTTCAAGTTTTGTGAAAGTTTGCCGTTTAGATGTTATTTCAGTTGAATATAGTTTTACTGAAATGAGAAATATATTCACTGTATTACATCTACCCAGACTAACACTATACCTTATATGCTTTCAGAATGGTAGCAAATCAAATGAATTTGAAGACAAAACGTTATTTTTAGAGGGTAAAAGATACATGAAATAAATTGAACTATTGTTTATTATACTATTCAGTGTGATTGCCTATAATTTAAAAAAATTTGACGCGTCGAAGAAAAATTCTGTTGTGTAAAAATGGTTTGAGATTGGGGGAGATAAAAGCAAGGTTGCATCAAAAACGTGGTCGGTCAAATCAAAGTAAAATGGATCCATAGTTCTCAAGTCGAGTAAACTGTATAAGCGCTTTTAACATGGACGCAGCCATTACGGATCACCTTGAAGCATCATATCCTTGTTTGGTTACTGCAGAAAAGTTTGCAGTCAGGTTGAATTTCTCAAAAGCACTGAAAAAGCCGCCATCATGAAATTTTGCATAATATACATCGTTCCTTCTACCTAACCAAGTTTTCTGTTCAATCGCTAAATCGATGACGTCCTTAGCGACCAATGCTGTAAATATATTATATATATTTACTGAAATACTCAAGTATTAAGAATAGTACAGAAACGTACCAACATCGTATACTTTTCAGTATCCAAGTTTCAGATAACCTCATTAGCACTTCCGACCAGCCGTTCTATAGCTATGTAACTTTGTATTCATCGTCGCAGTAAACTCGGATAAATTGAAACGTTTGGATATTGAAAACAAATTTATATACACTTGAGATACACGTGATTCTTGTGCTATATTTTGCCAAGTATTCATGGCGTAGCACGTAAGATTTTTATTGCTTGAAAGGTTTTCCTTCAATTTGCAAGAGTCAATTATTTGAAAACGATTCAATTACTCATACTTACGTTTGCTTCAACATCCTTCTCAGCATTACCCGGTTGTTTCTTTCAAATATTCACTTTAATGCATGTGCAGTTGCACATGCAAATACTGAGAAGAATGTGGGCGTTCATACGCACATGTAATAGAACTATATGTCGTGCACAGATAAATACTGAAAGATTACACATGTCCACCAACAATTTTTCTTCGCTCACGCGGTCTATAGGAACCAGTACGGTAGACACTATACGAGCCTTTACTGAAATATCAAGCAGTCAATAAACACATTTGATCGTTCCGAGTCACTTCTCAACTACACAAATTAATGAACAGTATCGTGGTGGTGCTATGGCAAGGTTTCCTACAATAGGAGTAAAAATTACCGAACATTAGTACAATTCGCATATTTACATTTCACCGAATTAGATTTTATAGAAGTATTTGCACACAACTCCATTTTTCCATGCATTTCCTTACTCTATCTTCTTTACCAGATTCTTTATATCAAATACTAAAATATTTGATTGTTTGCACATGTTTTCACCTAACTGTTCAAAGTGTACGACTTGAAGATGCTGTTAAATTGACCCACACGTTTGCTATGAAACAAGTAACTAGTTCTGGTAAAGATCTTAGTTTGGGAAGTATATGTGTAGAAATATATAGGTCATTCGTAACATTTGCCTATACACATGGTATGTTATTTTCACAATGACAATGGTGTTCGTTTACACATCAACTTTAAACTAAGTTTCATACAAGCAACTACATTATCGGAGAATTTTGGTAACGTAATCACGATAACGACTAATACGGTTGAAATGAAAAAAGCTTTGGTGAAGGCAATCATTTATAGTGAATAGTTAACCGGTTAGTAGTTCATAATGATGGAACTTGGAATCAATACAATATGGTAGTGAAATAGATTACCAATTTGGTGTTCCTGATACATGGTTTGGGGGAAATAGTTTATTAGTCACTGAACCGTTAGCATGCTCTGATTTGAAATTGAAAACATAAAAAATTCTATGTAATTATATCTTCTAGTCGCATCGTTTCATCAGATTTCACGATATAAACTATACATGCGTTATAATGATTAAGAATTTTAAACAAATATATACATTAATATATAATGTCTAACTTACAGGACACAAGACCACCTATTCTCAAGTAGTTCCATAGTGACGTCATTAACAGAAACCCCAAATTTACCCCAATTCGAGTTAAAATCATGAAAAACAAAATTAAATCAATTTATTCAATTAGATCTACCTACGGTCCATGCTGTGCGACTCATTTTTATACTTCAAAATTACAACATTGTTGATGACATGAGCCAAGACGTCACGTTTATTTTTTATATTCATGAGAATTGCGAAAATGTATATATTGATCAATATTTTTAAGGTCAGTTAGAATCGTATATATATATATATATATATATACATTGTTTTAACTCCTATTCATTAACGTTTGGGGTAACCCACGGTTAGTGGTCGTCGGGGCAGAATCGGTTCACAAGTTCAGGACAAAACCCTTGTCAGTTAATTCTATCACTGGACTTCCAGTTCGTAAATCTTGCGTCCCTTCCGTGAATATACCTAGCTACATGGCGACATTGGCAAATATTTATCAAAAGTCAGATGGACCATATGGTGTAAATTGTGATCTTATGGTTTAGTTGTAACATTATTTACATTATTATACGTTCCGTTCTCGTCTTGGTCAAACAACGGAGCCGGTATCTATAGTATACCGTGGTAAATGTTGATATTAAAACAGTACTAATAACACGAACATATTATAGGTCTGTTAGCAAAGCGACAGACATTATTCTATCAAATCGACTCTTGGGATAGGTTTAACAAACGACCTTGAAATGCAAAGAAACCAACGGACTACAAAAGGTAACTGAGCTTCTCTTAAGTTTGAGAGACACTGGGAATATACTTATACATCCAACGGAGATATTCAGAAGTTACCTATACAGTCAACGTATTATCGTTAACACAGTGCATGATACCATCGAGCAGAACTCACAGCTATAACCATGAGTCGACTGGACGAGAATTCAATAATATTAGCAATGGCTGGGAAGAACCAATGGACTATTCTACAAATCTCCCAAATGCAACTACAACAGAGAAATCTATTGAAATGATTATTGACTCTCATAGAATATTTGTGCAGTGGGTCGCCTGTGAAACTATGTCGATACTATTTCTATTGATAACTGTTTATGTTAGCATAGCGTTGTCCGTTTACTATATTAAAAAGAGCAAAGTCGTCTATAGGAGAAGAAATAATATTCGACTTGGAATAAAATGGAGAGTAGTAGCAATGAACACATTCTGCATGACTGCAGTATTTTCTATTTGTTTACGTTCTTTTTTCCAAGTTGATGCGATTTGGGGAAGGTATAGCTATCTAAGTTGCACGGTTTTGAAAAAAGACTAAGATTATATTAGGGTTATTAGGAGCGATATCAATATGCTTGACATTTTGGTTCCGACAAAGAATATTTTACAAAAGCCCAAATTTAGTGCATTTAACCAACAAATTTACACGATTAACTAGCACCGCGATTTTGCCTATTTTGGTGGGGTTATATTTTTCCGTCATTTTATACTACATATCAAAGGATTTAAATTACAGACACCTACCACCTTATGGCTGTTCAACGTCACACAATATGTTGCCGTTGACTATAATAGCATGTAGGCTTGCACGTAATTGACAAAACTCAATTCCGTAATTACGGCAAAATCAATTACGTAATGACCCCGTAATTGCGATATTTTTTCACGCATTTAAACCTATCATAACAACCAATTGAATCCACTTCTTTTCCGAATGGGACATTGAAGTTGGGTTTTCATATTCTTGGCAGTACTACACGCCGGGCGGCAGATGTTAAAGACAAATATCAAGGAGTGAATTCAAATTAATTTTATTCTGATTTTTATCTTTTGTGTTAGCTTTGGTTTTCCTTTATCCCCTTCGCAAATTAACCGTCCCATTTTTATGCGATCAATTTTATTTTATCATTACCGACACTGGTATACGGATATTTATGGAAACGATAGTTTTTTAAAACCACCTTAGTACTGAATAAAAATTACGGGTTTCTAATTTATTAACCAACGACGAGCGTATTCTCTCGTTTGATTATACTTGCGATTTCCTCGCGACGAAGACTTGTTTTTGCAGCGTCTTCTGCATTATCCGACATTACTGCCTTGTTAGCATTTTATAATAATAATTATTGATGTCGACTTATTGACGATATTCCGATTACCATGCTTCATTTTACATTTAATCATTTCGCGGACTGAATGTTTATAACATTATTTGCGATAAATTTAGATCAAATATTATTTATTTGAGTATAATTTAAATATCGAACTTATATGATATGCCTTCTCCGAAAATACAAAGTTATATCGCAAAACAATGCATTTTGTGACATTTATTTTACACTCACGACATTTATTTGCTAACTCAAGTCGGCGATCCTATCGGCCAAGATTGACACAAGTTTGGTCGAGTGCCGGTGGTATTCAAGTCGACGATAAATCAAAATAAGTTGCCGCATTTGGTAAGACAGTTAATCATATATGGCCGAAATATTGAGAGGAATTGTGAAAAACATCATGAGCAAGGCCAAGTCCGGACTGATATATAACGATAAAACCGTTAACAGAACATCAAGATTTTGTAATAGAAAATGGATCTCGCACAGAATAAACACACTGGCTCATATTTGATTATATATGATAGCAGTTAAATTTTTAGCGGTCCGCGAGGAATCCGTCGTTTTGCTGTTTCTCTGCCGTCTCAATCGCTTTACCGATGCCGAGAAGACGAAGTTGCGTTGGTTCATTACGCAATCTCTCTTTTGTCGTCATATTGCTATTTGATAAGCGCGACATTAATTATCACGGCGAGGTATTGGCGCGAGTGATCAATCGCTCTTTTCGCTTATTTGGTTCCAATTCGTCGCGAAAGCTCTTCGTTAAATTTCACAAGATCGTCGTGTTGAAAGGTTATGGATATTTTCCTGTTTATACCCCAAGTCTGAAATAAAACAGCCAAAAACAGTATGATATTCCATGTTCATATATCA